ACGGACTACTCCATCGTGCATCCGAATCCTCACAGTACCTATCCCACGAACGCCACAGGATTGATCATTTCCCATGACCACAACACCCCCATCGAGTCTCTCAAATGATGAGAACCAATCTCGCCTAGGAGTCACATGATAAGTAGCGCCAGAATCAAGCATCCACTCCGATGCATCCAAATGGTTCACCTCCGGAGTAATCAAAAGAGAAAAGCTCGAATCATCGGAATCATCGCCTTTCGCAACATTCACCTCATTGGCCTTCGGGCCCTTATTCTTGCTATTCTCCTTTTCTTTGACTTTCGGGCAATCTCTTTTCCAATGTCCCTGCTCCTTGCAGAATGCACATTGATTCTTTCCAAGCTGGTGACGACCTCTTGACTTTGACCTCCCTCTGTTTCCACCTTTCTGATATGAGCTTCTACCTCTCGCCGACAAGGCCTCTCCTGAAGTACTAGCGCGGGAAGTCTCCTTATCCTTCCTCCTCAAATCATAGTTCGTCAATGCGTTAGTCACTTCACTATAAGTGATAGAAGATCTCCCGTTCAGCAACGTAAGCACGAAGGTATCATACTCCTCATCCGGTAAGGAGCCCAAAAGAATAATAGCCTTGTACTCATCTGTGATCTTCTCATCCACGTTCGCCAAGTCCGACAACAACTTAGTGTAGTTGTTCACATGAGCCGCAAGCGAGGTACCTCTGGACATCTGGAATCTGAATAACCTTCGCAGCAAGTGCAACCGGTTCTCAACACTCTTCGTAAGGTACTTATTGTTGAGAATTTCCCACATCTTCATCGCAGACGTCACCCCAATCACATCGTATTTCAGCTCCTGTTCCAAACAGGACCTGATCACCCCGCAAGCATTTCGATTCATCTTTTCCCATATCGCCTCTTCATATTTAGGTGGCCTCATAAAAATATATTCATAAAATACTACACGAATTAACCCTTTAAATTTAAGCTAGTTATGGCCAGATAAAAGAGGAGTACTGGAGTTTTTGTTTACGTACGTACAGCTGAGGATATATCAAAATATAATGATTATATAATACGTATAACCAGAAGTAATTAGCCTAGCAAAAAATAGTATATAGAAATAAAAGGTAAATAAAGAAATAATTAAAAGGTGGAACTTGTTCATAATACACCTGATTGGGGAAAAAAAAGAAAATAAAATAAAAATAGATATACACAAGAAGTGAGCGTAGTAGATGATACCCTTGCATATTTGATCTCATCGAATTTGAGAGTTGGTGGCTCACAATCAATCGACGATTTTCTTTCAATTCTTCTGTCTTTTTTTTTTTTGAGAAAAATTGAAGTCTTCTGTCTTAAACCATGATTATTAATTAAAAATATATTCATAAAATACTACACGAATTAACCCTTTAAATTTAAGCTAGTTATGGCCAGATAAAAGAGGAGTACTGGAGTTTTTGTTTACGTACGTACAGCTGAGGATATATCAAAATATAATGATTATATAATACGTATAACCAGAAGTAATTAGCCTAGCAAAAAATAGTATATAGAAATAAAAGGTAAATAAAGAAATAATTAAAAGGTGTAACTTGTTCATAATACACCTGATTGGGGAAAAAAAAGAAAATAAAATAAAAATAGATATACACAAGAAGTGAGCGTAGTAGATGATACCCTTGCATATTTGATCTCATCGAATTTGAGAGTTGGTGGCTCACAATCAATCGACGATTTTCTTTCAATTCTCGCCATCATAAATATCACCATAAAAAGAAAGAGAAAAATAGAAAAAATATATATAGAGAGCGAAAGATCTCAATCTCTCCTAACTTGATCTCCTCAGGTTGCTCCTCAAGCACAAGATCAAGGGTTTTTAAGTAGGAGATTAGAGAGGCTTACGCGGTGAGCTATGATCTACACGTGTCAGTGACCCATCAATTGGACTCGGACACGAGCTAGAAAATGTATGGATCATGACACGTTTCGAGCAAATGGGAGTCTTACTTGTTGCTATTCCTTTGGTTCTTGGGGGAGGTTTTCTAATCTCTAATTAATTTCCTCTACTTAATTAATTAATAAAAACACAGATCACAGATGTCTTATTTTATACTGTTTTTGTGGGACGATGTACGTAGGCGGATCGAGGTTGGCGGTATCTAACTTAATAATCTTTAGTTGTGGTATATTAATCATACAAACCGAATCAAGTTTAGTGCGCATCTGTACTTGTACACCTGCATATTAAAAAAAAAAAACATGACATGTTTGTGTCAAGCTTTTGAAAATGCGAGTTAATTACAGATATATCATGTTAATTAATTAGTCATTTATTATTTCCAAACGTTTTTATTATTTGTTTATACTCTCCAATTAACGTTTAAATTATAGAATTATCTTTTTATTATTGTTAGAATTTAAAAGGATAATCGTCGGTCCTCATTCTGAGTTCACTATATATGATGCGGTATAAGAACTATTTGACATGATATTATGGCAACAGCCAAATTCGAATTCCTCTTCCAAACATTTAAAGTAGAGTTTAATAAGAAGAATATCATTTTGTGAGTTGCATTGTTGGCAGCTTCGCGGCATAAGCGCCGCAAATTTGTAAGCCGGGGTCGAGGACGCTCCCCTGCGCCCCGGTCCCTCCCCCGCGCCAAATTAAAAGTATATGAAAAAGAAAAAAAAAAAAGGCTCCAGCGTCCATAAAAAAAATGGAGCAATTCAAACCAAACACAAGAAAACAAAAAAACACCACACTCGCAAATTTGGCTTTATTGTATTCCCGAGCTCTTCAAATTGCTAAAGTATAATATCAAGATGTGTGCGAAATCAGGTGTCTAGTTTTTCGCAAAATTCTATAAAGCTGTGAGTTTCGGCCTATTCGGTGAAGTCCGGCTGCTCTAACTGCTCACAAAGGTAGAAAGTTTTCTGAGAGTGTCAAATGCTACTATTATATATTCTTGCGGAAGTTAGTTTTTGACCTTTTTTTGGCAAATGAAACATAATATAAAAAAAGTTATTATGTGCAACTGGCATGAGACTTGATTTGGTTTTAATAATGTGCTTGGTCACGTCATATTGAAAAACATGGCGCTTTATTGACATTGACAAGGAGAGAAATCAAATGGCAATGTTATCAGGGATAACATAAAAAAATGGAGGCAACAAAATTGTAAAAAAATAAGTGTGAAATAAGGTCTTCAATTGACTATTTTGTCTGTCTGTGTGTGTGTGTCTTACACTCGGTTATAATTTCATATGTCTTAGCTTTGTTGTTATTAATATTTAGATAAAACATTGTACGCCCCTAGCTAGCTATATTTGTAGACCGTAAGCTTAATTTCAAATTTTAGAGTAGGCAGAAGGGTCTTCTAACGTTACGCAAGTACAGGCTGGTTAAAGTGAGGTCCAGCTTTGGCTTACTTGATGGTCAAATTCATAAGGGCATGACTTAGATCTAATATTAATGAAAATAGTGTCCAACACACACATACAGCAAGAATTTGGATCATCTCCACTACCAAAAAAAATAAGTGAGAGAGCCACTACTTTTTAATCTCAATCGTTGAATTACTTAATAAGGCGGTTATGCTACAATCTAAATCTAAGCATTTAGCGCATACAACGTGTATTGCACATCATTCCTCAATTCTGCACTAAATAATGAAAAATATATACAACCACCAACTAGATTAGACTCGGGGTGGGGGGGGAGGGGGGGGGGGAGGAAGAGGGAGGGGAAGGGGGGGGAGAGAGGAGGATTAGATGTTGTGTTGGTCGGCACCTTCCAGACTACATTTTAGATGATGTGGCATGAGGCATGCTGACATTAATCCTACATAACAAGGCATACGCTTTACTAAAGGAAAAGCAAGTAGAATGAGATAGGTAATAATAACATCATGTTAATTAATTTGTAGTTAGTTGTGCTTAATTTAGCATCGCATGCAACAGGTACTACGTCGCGACCTCGAAACAATCATGCCACCACGGTATGCTCACCAAGTTAAGGCTGAAGACGCCGACAACAACGACTAAGACACGTGACACATCTTGGTCTTAAGAGATGTGATCGGAACTATACTGCAAGGCTTTTTCACTCAAGCCAAACACGAAAAATTTACTTTCATAATTTACAGATAAAAAAAAAAAAAATTCCGCCGAAAAAACACTTCGGCCGCGCTCCCCTCGCCAAATTTGTCCGCGATCCTCAATTTAAACCCTATATAACTCCCTCAAACATCCTTCGACTTGTCAAACCGACCGAAGCCGACAAAATGGTTCCCGACAAATCTACTGCACGCCCACCCTCGGATCCGTGGCGCCGCGGTGCTCGCAGCTCGCCGCGAGCCGCCGGCAACGTCCACACCACCAAGAAGATCTCCGTGGCGTGGATGCGAGCTCCTCTGCGGCTCCGAAACCACTACTCCGACCGCATGCACGCAATAATGGCGAGCATCCCAAGACGCCAGCGCCCAATGCGACGAGATCATCCAGCGGCTGCCAACGCCATCCTCAACGGCGAACTGAGGACGGCCCTGACGGCTAAGGCGACCGAGTGTCGAAGAGACGGTGACCACCGAACAAGCTGATTCATCGAGCGCAGGCTCTGCCGTGAGCGCTGAAGTCGGCTTTGACATTAACCTCGAGGCTATTGTTTATTTGGCTGCGGCATCCCCGAGAGCTCATTCGTTAGACATCTCGAGTGTGGACTGATACCGTCCGGCGTTCCAGGTGTATTCATCAGTATTTGATCAATCATCGAATCGGATATTGCATAAGAGGTGTATAAAAAGGCAACTACATTTTTAATAATTAGAATCATCTGCATGCATGCATCGTTTCTCAGTCTTCCGTGCTGCGACCGCCTGAACGGAGCAATCGTGAAGAGGAGATTGAAGAACATCCAATGCGGGCAACTCACTGATCTAACGGGGAAGCGCCGTCAGCATGTTCCAGCGACCTGTCGAGAAGCATTCAACGCCGCGCTCGGGAGTACGGCAGCGGCCCGCGGTCATCTATCGGAGGACGCCGACCCGATGGGTGTCGGGGTCGCCGACGCTGCAAACTGATGGGGTCAGCGAACAAGCGCCGGGGGCTAAAAGCCGACATCGTGGTGGCCAGGACGGGAGCGGGCAATTTTTAAGACGATGCAGGAGCGTGAGGCTCGGTGCGAAGAAGAACCCGAGTAGGGTCGTTGGATTTACGTGAAAGGCGCGGAACCTACAAGGAGAAGGTGAAGGTGGAAGCTTCGAATATATTCATGTCGGGGAGCGGGCCGAGGAAGTCGATGGTTAAATTGGAAGCGATAATGTCGGCTGCACGGCGGCCGGAATCTAACACTTCCCTGAGATACACCTTTCGTAATTTAAGGGGCCGTCGATATGTTTGCATTCTAGCTCTAGCTAGAACCAATTTTAACCGGGCAAAAGGCATTAATTAATTAAAAACTGGCTGCGGATGGTCAGAGGCAGCGCAACTGAACGTATCTCCTATTGTATTTGCGAATGTACGTATATATATATACAGGTGGTTTCGGAAAGGGGTTTCGTGGGGCGAAGGCCAGGGGTTGCATTTTGACGACGCGGGGCACAGAACGGCCACCAAGGCGGTGGCCGCTGATGGTGGTGGGGCGACGACTGCGGCCATTCTTCACACTGCGCGCATCAGACGGGTTCCAGGACACGCTCTATCTACAAGGCAAGCCAGCGCAGTTCTTGGCAGCAACTGGCGTCATCTGCGGACCAATCGAGCTTCATGTTCCGGCAGGCGGGCGGGCTGGCATAGTCCAGAAAACTCCCTCATCGTGGTCCGGCGCCCGCATGGACAAACCAGATTCAACAGCGTGAGCGGCGACAGGAAACGAGGACAAAGGGCGCTGCGCGGGCTGGTCCATCCAACCACATGGCCGGGATACGGCGGAGCAAGAAGCTGCTCCGGAACAGGTTTCACGATGGCAAGAGCTCGGCTGGGGAGGCCGTGGAAGGCGAGGCAAAGAACGTGGTCATGGAGTCTGAGATCGGGGACGTAATCAGGGCCCGAGGGCTGGACCATCTGGGAGCGAGCCAATTTCCACGAGACCTGCTAGCTACGGCCGAGTAGCAGATAACAGGGGGCCAACGGTGACCCAACCAGGGCGAGTGGGTCAAGAAGCACGTGCCCATCGACAAGAATGAGGCGTCCCTCTTCTGATCGCAACTGCTGGGGACGTGCACCTGGCTCAAAGGACGCTGGTGCCAAAGTTCATCGATAGGGCTTCGTCAGGAGCTAATTAATCCATTTTGTCCTAGCTAGCTAGGTTGTTAGTTTAAAGGCTAGCTAGCTTGATTAGCTAGCTTGGAACCCGCCGTACTAGTCAATACGCATGCACGCTGAGTTTTTTTCGTTACCGTTATTAAAATTTGCTTAATTATTCAGCTGTATTTATTGTTTGTTTTGTTGCATGATTTTTTTTTTAAAATGTTTTATCTGTAACTGTTCTGAAATTATTATAAAAATGATAAAAGCGAGTATAAATTTCTTTTGCTCTTGCATCGGTTCGTTGTTATTGCTATTTTATTATTAGTTAACTAAATTCCTTAATTTTTGGTTATGGACGTGACGCGAAGGCGCTGAACTAAGACTAAGGTGCGTAAAGGGCAAGGACACACAATTTAGCTAGAAAAGAATATGCGGTGTCGTCCCTAAATGCAGTTTAAAAAAACATGAGCACGATTTCATAAACATACAAATTGGGTTCTATGACTTTGCCGCATTTCTAGTGAATAAATTTTCTTTAATTAAAAAAAAAAATTTGGAATTGGATTGTTCCTGATTGTAGAGAAAAAAAAGTAAGTCTTGTTGAATTTGGTTTTCAGTGGAGCTGAGTTAGCCGCGGTATGAACACATTATGAAAATTGGGTATGATAGGTTCAATGATAGGCGTTAATTATGAGCGAGGGGTTAACAAAGAAAATCTATCTAATTCTGAAGTTAACAGAAGTTCACTCTCAAATAACTGTCACTTAGCAAGAGGGACATGAGTTTGGCCAAGAAATTTAAATGATTTTAGGGACCGATAAGCAAACGATTTGAGATTTGAAAGACTATTTGCGCAATTAAGAATCATTTAAGGGACTAACATGTACAAAGTTGACCGCACTAAAGCTAAAAAAGGAGCCGAAAAAATTGTTTGGTAAATGACTAAAGCATTGTGTACCTAGGCCGACCATAATAATTCGCATGGTATCTATGGATTGGTATATAATTTTATCCGCACACAACTGCTAAAATCAGTACTGCGTGCTCGTGTGGTTTGGTATACTATCTTTTCTCATAGCTCTATCGATACCATGCTTGAAACTAGTATAAGTCAACAACATTCAAAGGAACTTTAGAAAATTGAAAATTTAAATGGATAATTAGCGTCACTTGATGCTGTTTTATTCTTTAGATGATCCAATATCTATACAAAACATCGTCAATATTTGGGCATCTTACAGTTTGTGCACGTATCAATTACTCCTTTGGCCGCGTGAGGGTAATGCAATGTGGGTAGGTTTCTCTTTTTAGTTGGTATTGGATTAAAAAAAAGTTTTATCGCGAACTAGACTACCGTAATATCTAAGCTAATGAGGCATTAACACTAAGATTAATTAGATTCTTAGATGTGACATATATAAATAATACAGTTTCTTATATCATCAGTGCTACAGTAGTGCTTAGAAGCCAGTTATCTAAGTTGAGTACCAATTGTTTCAAGACGTTACCGTGTATTTATATCTCAAAATCTTCTAAATAAGTAAAAAAAGAAAATGCTATGTGACAATATAAAAAAGAAATTCGAGTCGCATAATGACACTTTCTTAGTTAATGAATAAGGCAGAATAGCATGTTAACTCTGGAGCTAATGGCCCTAATGTGAATTCTCGCTTTGCATCGCCCGTAAATACTACGATCGAATTAAAAGTTTTTCTTCTTCAAAAAGATATTATTATATATATTTTCGAATTAGCCTATACGCTAATTTTACAACTTAGTTGAGCATTCCATCTAATAACACCGTATTACATATTAGTTGTAAGTTTATTCATGACACATTTCAGGCATAGAGTGCTATTATTTATTTTAGTATGCGCCCTGGATGAGATATGGCGCTCAAGAAATGAGTACGTGTTGCGTCAATGGAATCTACAGCGGCATCATTTTGGCGCCTTGGAGCTGCTAATTTAGCATACAGTCGGCTTGGTAGGCCCATTAGCATAGGTTGTATTCATTTAATGTTGCTTTATCTTAATAACACTGAGACAAAGCTTTATTTGTAAGCGGTTGAGAGGGGCAAATAAAAATACATATATATTAATCCTACAATAGTAATATCTATGGCGAGCCCAACTAATTAAATGGCCGGCTGTACAAATCAGTAATTATGGGGTTGTTAGTAAATTATTTACAGCGTACACGTCTTGCTAACATCTCTAAATAAGTCTAAACTTACATAGTCCTATATTTGAAAGGTTAACTCTTCTCAATTTGAAAAATAGCTTATTAAACTGTTTGCCTTTAAATAAATAAGCTAGGGTTTTTGTTTAGAAAACCTGAACCATTCATATCTATGATTAAGTTTTAATTAATAGAAAATTTATTCATAGATAATGGCAAAGTCATAGAACCACAATTTTATGTTTATGAAATGTGCTCATGTTTTTTTAAACTGTCGATTAGGTGACGACACCGCTAGTTCTTTTCTAGCTTAATTGTGTTGTTTCCTTGCCTAGCACCTTTAGTCTTAGTTCAGCGCGCTTCGTCGACGTCCATAAAAAAATTAAGGAATTTAGTTAACTAATAATAAAGTAGCAATAACAACGAACGCGGATGCAAAGAGCAAAAGAAATTTATCTCGGCTTTTTCATCTTATAATAATTTCAGAACAGTTACAGATAAAACATTTTAAAAAAAAAATCATGACAAAACAAACAATAAATACAGCTGAATAATTAAGCAAATATTTAATAAGGTAACGAAAAAACTCAGGCGTGCATGCGGTAACTTGACTGTACGGCGGGTTCCAAGCTAGCTAATCAAGCTAGCTAGCGCTTATAAAGCTAACAACCTAGCTAGCTAGGGACAAATGTGATTAATTAGGCTCCTGACAGAAGCCTATGCGATGAACTTGGCACCAGCGTCCTGTTGAGCCAGGTGACGTCCCGCCAGGCAGTTGCCCCGATCAGAAAGAGGGACGCCTGCATTCTTGTCGATGGGCACGTGCTTCTTGAGGCCCGACTCGCCCTGGTTGGGTCACCGTTGGCCCCCTGTTATCTGTACCTCGGCGTAGTAGCAGGTCTCGTGGAAATTGGCTCGTTCCGGCAGATGGTCTCATGCCCTCGGCCTGATTACGTCCCCAGATCTGCAGACTCCATGACGCACGCTTCTTGCCCTCGCCTTCCACGGCCCTCCCCAGGAGCTCTTGCCATCGGTGAAAGCCTGTTCCGGGCAGCAGCTTCTTGCTCCGCCGCTATGCCGGCCAGTTGGTTGGATGGACCAGCCCGCCGCAGACGCCCTATTGTCCTCGTTTCTCGTTCCGCCGGTCACCGGTGTTGAATCTGGTTGTCCATAGCGGGCGCCGGACGCACGATGAAGGGAGTTTCTGGACTATGCCAGCCGCCCGCCTGCCGGAACATGAAGTCGATTGGTCCGCGAGATGACGCAGTTGTCTGCCAAGAACTGGCTGGCTTGCCTTGTAGATAGAGCGTGTCTGGAACAGCCGTCTGATGCGCGCAGTTGAAGAAGGCGCGAGTCGTCGCCCAGCCAATCAGCAGGCCACCGCCTTGGTGGCCGTCTGCCCCGCGTTCGTCAATGAACCGCCCTGGCCTTCGCCCACAGAGACCCCTTTCCAGAACCACCTGTATATTATATATAACGTACATTCTTGCAAATTAAATAGTGAGATACGTTCAGTTGCTGTCTGCCTCTGACCATGCCGCAGCCAGTTTTTAATTAATTAATGCTTTTGCCTCGGTTAACAATTGGTTCTAGCTAGAGCTAGAATGGCAAATATATCGACGGCCCCTTAATTACGGTAAAGTGTAGCTCAGGGAAGTGTAGATTCCGGCGCCGTGAGCCGAGCATTATCGTTGCCAATTTAACCATGACTTCGCTCGCCCGCTCCCCGACATGAATATATTCGAAGCGTTGCCTGACCTTCAGCCTTCTCCTTGTAGGTTCCCGCCTTCAACGTAAATCAACGGACCCTACTCCGGGTTCTTCTTCGGCACGAGGCCTCACGCGCTCCTGCATCGTCTTAAAAATTTGCCGCTCCGAGGTCCTGAGCCAGTCCACGATGTCGGCTTTTAGCCCCCGGCGCTTGTTTCCGCTGACCCATCAGTTTGCAGGTGCGGCGCCCGGACACCCACATTCGGGGTCGGCGTCCTCCGATAGATGACCGGGGCGCGTGGCGTACTCCCCTGAGGGGCGTTGAATGCCTTTCGACAGGTCGTGGAACATGCTGACGGCGCTTCCCCGTTAGATCAGTGAGTTGCCGCAGGATGTTTTCATCTCCTCTTCACGATTGCTCGTGTCAGCGGTCGCAGGTCACGAAGACTGAGAAAGCTATGCATGCATGCAGATTGATTCTAATTATTAAAAATGTAGTTCTTTTTATAAGCACCTCTGTATGCAATATCATTCGATTGATTTTATCAAATACTGATGATAACCTGGAACGTCCGGACGTATCCAGTCCACACTCGAGCATGTCTAAATCGAATGAGCTCTCAGGATGCCGCAGCCAAATAAACAATAGCCTCGAGGTAATCGCAAAGCCGACTTCAGCGCTCCACGGCAGAGCGGCTGCGCTCGATGATCAGGCTTGTTCGGTGGTCACCGTCTTTCGAACACTCGGTCGCCTTAGCGTCAGGGCCGTCCTCGAGTTTCGCGTGAGGATGGCGTTGGCAGCCGCTGTGATTGATCTCGTGCGCAATTGGCGCTGGGTTTGGATGCTCGCCATTATTGCCGTGGCATGCGGTCGGGAGTAGTGGGTTTTTCGGAGGCGCAGAGGAGCTCGGCATCCGCCACGGGAGATCTTCTTGGTGGTGGTGGACGTTGCCGGCGGTGCGGCCGAGCTGCGAGCTACCGCGCGGCCACGGATCGAGGGTGGGCGTGCAGTAGATTTGTCGGAACCATTTTGTGGTTCGGGTGGTTTGCAAGTCGAAGGATGTTTGGGAGTTTATATAGGGTTTAAATTGAGGGATGCGGAAAATTATGGGAGGTGGTAGCGCGTAGGAAGTTGTTTTTTTGGCGGATTTTTTTTGTTTTTTTGTTAAATTTATCGAAAGTAAATTTTCGTGTTGGCTTGAGTGAAAAGCTTGCAGTTAGTTTCCGATCCATTCTTAAGACCAAGATGTGTCAGTGTCTTAGTCGTGTGTTGTCCGGCGTCTTCAGCCTTAACATTGGTGAGATACGTGGTGGCATATCTGTTTCGAGGTCGCGACGTATACCTGTCTGCATGCGATGCTAAATTAAGCACAACTAACTAACAAATTAATTAACATGAATATTCCTATCATTACTGCTTTTCCTTTAGTAAAGCGTATCCTTTTATTAGATTAACTTGTCGCTTATGCTTCACTCATCTAATAATTAGCGTGCTGGGTGGAAACAATTTAATCCTCAGATCCTCCTTCCCCTCCTCTAAATGTAGGCAATCCCCCCACTCCCCCATATCACAACCTGAGTCTATCTAGTTTTGGTGGTTGTGATTATTTTTCTTTTTAAGTGCAGAATTAGGAATGATGTGCAATACACGTGGTATGCGTAAATGCTTAGATTTAGATTGTAGCATAACCGGCGCTTATTAAGTAATTGCAACAGATTTGATGATTAAAAAGTAGTGGCTCTCTCACTTATTTTTTTTGGTAGTGGAGATGATCCAAATTCTTGCTGTATGTGTGTGTGGATCACTAAATTTCATTGAATATTAGATCTAAGTCATGCCTTATGAATTTGACCATGCAAGTAAGCAAAGGCACGACGCCACTACGCTGTGACTTGCGTTAACGTTAGAAGACCCTTCTGCTACTCTAAAATTGAAATTAAGTTACGGTCTACAAATATTAGGCTAGCTAGGGGGTACAATTTTATCTAAATATTAATAACAACAGAAGCTAAGCATGATGAAATTATAACCGCAGTGTAGACAGCACACACGCACTAGACAGACCAAAATAGTCAATTGAAGACCTTATTTCACACTTTTTTTTTACAATTTGTTTGCGCATGCCATTTTTTTTAATGTTTCTGATAACATTGCATTATGATTTCTCTCCTTGTCAATGTAATAAAGCGCCATGTTTTTCAATATGACGTGACGCACGGCCAACAATTATTATAAACCAATCAAGTCTCATGCCGTTGCACATATAACTTTTTTTTATTATGTTTCATTTGCCAAAAAAAGGGTCAAAAACTAACTTTCCGCAAAGAATAATATAATAGTAAGCATTTGACACTCTCAGAAAAACTTTCTACTTTGTGAAGTTAGAGCAAGCGGACTTCACCGAAATAGGCCGAAACTCACATGCTTTATAGATTTTTGCGAATAAACTAGCACTGATTTCGCACCATTTGATATTATACTTTAGCAATTTTGGAAAGGCTCGGGAATACAATAAAGTCCCCAAATTGCGAGTGTGGGTGTTTTTTTTGTTTATCTTGTTTGTTTGGTTTGTTTGTTTTTTTTTTGGCGTGGAGTTTTTTTTTTTTTTTTTTTTTTTTTTTATTGGGGGGGGGGGGTGGGGGGGGGGGGGGGCGGGGGTGGGGTGGGGGGAGGGCGGGGGGGGGGGTTGTTCAAATTGGGGGTTTGGGGGAGCTGCAACATGACTCGACACCACGCCAAAAAAAAAACAAACAAACAAACAAACAAGAAAACAAAAAAACACCACACTCGCAATTTGGCTTATTGATCCCGAGCCTTCAAAATTGCTAAATATAAATATTCAAATGGGCGAAATCAGGCTAGTTTATCCAAAATCTAAAAGCCAGTTGATTCGCCTATTCTGAAGTCCCTTGGCTCTAACTCTCACAAAGTAGAAAAGTTTTTCTGAAGTGTCAAATGCTACTATTATATATTCTTGCGGAAGTTAGTTTTGACCTTTTTTTGGCAATGAAAACATAATAAAAAAAAGTTATATGTGCAACGGCATGAGACTTGATTGGTTTAATAATTGCTTGGTCACTCATATTGAAACACATGCCTTTATTAACATTGACAAGGAGAAAATCATGCAATGTTATCAAAACATGAAAAAAATGGAGGCAACAATTGTAAAAAAAAAAGTTAATAAGGTCTTTCAATTGACTATTTTGTCTGTCTGTGTGTGTGTGTCTACACTGGTTATATTTCATATGCTTAGCTTTGTTGTTATTAATATTTAGATAAAAATTGTACCCCTAGCTAGCTATATTTGTAGACCTAACTTAATTTCAAATTTTAGAGTAGCAGAAGGGTCTTCTAACGGTTACCAAGTCACAGGCTGGCTAGTGGTC